CTTCATCAACATTTAACAATACATATGTTTGCCATAAAAGTTGTCCCAGTTATCAATGAATGGGATTGCAAGTTCCTTGCAGTATCTGTCTAGCCAGCAATTTACACCAGTTGCCCTAGACAACCATTTAATGCCCACTCCCCTTCTAGGCAAGATGCTAAGTATGATTGGGACCCCTCCCCTAGACTTAATTAAATTTAAAGCTGACCTGTACTTATCTAGCAGTTCGTCTCTCCTACCGTTCCCAATGTCATTTCCACCAGCACTGAGACAGATAATGGGCTTGTTCCCATTACCTGACATATTATCCAACCTGTTGACTGTCACCAACACCAGCTCCAGGGAAGCACACTCTCTCTCGCTCTCTCACCTTCTTTTTCCTGTTACAGAAAGCACGGTCCACATATCTTACCTGTAAGTCACCAACCACAAGAATTTGCTTACCTCTTTTTGTAGGGGAAGTAGTACCTTTACCTTCACTGGCCGCTGAAGTACACTCATCCTGAAGAATAGAGAAGTGATTTCCTACCTTCAAATCTTCTCTTAACTTTCCTTATTTTGATGCTCCTCCCCTAACTGGGAACAACTCGTCACTTGTAGCAGGTGCTGAACTGCACCTCACTGCTGGTAGCCTCATTCCCCTCAACTACTCCAGCCACCTCACACTCACTCCCAAACCCATCAAGGTGAATCTTCAACCTCCTAATTTCCTCCTGGAGAAGCAGGACCTCCTCCTTCAACACTCCAACCTCAGATTTTAAAACACTGCAACAAACCATGGCTTTGTAACCGTACACACTAATCCCTAAGGCAGCTCAAGGCCTGTGACCTCTCGTGACTGGCACATATAAAATATAAATCTATAACACTTAGTCTGACTTGTCCTATCTAGCATTATTCCTGATGCTTACTTCACTGAAGATATTGCTATGCTGTGGTAATGTATCTAAGTATACCTGGAGTTTACCTGGAGAGAGTTCCGGGGGTCAACGCCCCCGTGGCCCGGTCTGTGACCAGGCCTCCTGGTGGATCAGAGCCTGATCAACCAGGCTGTTGCTGCTGGCTGCATGCAAACCAACGTACGAGCCACAGCCCGGCTGGTCAGGAACCGACTTTAGGTGCTTGTCCAGTGCCAGCTTGAAGACTGCCAGGGGTCTGTTGGTAATCCCCCTTATGTATGCTGGGAGGCAGTTGAACAGTCTCGGGCCCCTGACACTTATTGTATGGTCTCTTAACGTGCTAGTGACACCCCTGCTTTTCATTGGGGGGATGTTGCATCGTCTTCCAAGTCTTTTGCTTTCGTAGCGAGTGATTTTCGTGTGCAAGTTCGGTACTAGTCCCTCTAGGATTTTCCAGGCGTATATAATCATGTATCTCTCCCGCCTGCGTTCCAGGGAATACAGTTTTAGGAACCTCAAGCGCTCCCAGTAATTGAGGTGTTTTATCTCCGTTATGCGCGCCGTGAAGGTTCTCTGTACAATATTCCAGCCTAGATAGAACAAGTGACCTGAAGAGTGTCATCATGGGCTTGGCCTCCCTAGTTTTGAAGGTTCTCATTATCCATCCTGTCATTTTTCTAGCAGATGCGATTGATACAATGTTATGGTCCTTGAAGGTGAGATCCTCCGACATGATCACTCCCAGGTCTTTGACGTTGATGTTTCGCTCTATTTTGTGGCCAGAATTTGTTTTGTACTCTGATGAAGATTTAATTTCCTCACGTTTACCATATCTGAGTAATTGAAATTTCTCATCGTTGAACTTCATATTGTTTTCTGCAGCCCACTGAAAGATTCGGTTGATGTCCGCCTGGAGCCTTGCAGTGTCTGCAATGGAAGACACTGTCATGCAGATTCGGGTGTCATCTGCAAAGGAAGACACGGTGCTGTGGCTGACATAAGACAGATTTGAAAGATGTTCACAGAAATACATGAATGGAGTTTAGTCATGTAGAGATTGAAGCTTTCATCTCTACACAAGTCTGGAGCACATACAGTGCTTCCTGACTCACTGCATGTGTGTGTGTTATGCTTATTGTGTTTTGTCTCAGACCTTCATGTCTGGAACTACCTATTTTTGCGTTGTCTATGCCAGGTGTGTATTTTTTTGTTCTCGTGTCTCAATGTGAATTTCTCTAGTTTTGAGATGAAGTTCATAGAGTTTTGGCTCTGGTCTTTCTATGATGTGTATTAACTCTTAAGTGCATGAACCTCTATGTGAGAGGAGCAGCAGCTATTGTTCTATAGTTCATTCTCTTTGTGGGTTACTGGTCCAAGTCGGACAGTTTTCCCCTGCTAAGTGCTGGTTGTTTGCATATTGTTCAAGTCGCAGTATTGTGACTCTTTATTCTTTATTTATGAGAGGTGCCATGCTACTAGCAAAAAGCTGTTGATCTAAGGAATTGGAGCCACTTCTTCCCCCCCCCCTTTTTTTTTTATTCCCCATGTGTTATGACTGCTATGGGTTTAATGCTTCCTGTACATAATTATTCAGGGATGTAATTACATTTTAAGTCATGAGAAAATCACATCAAAGTAGCAGTGAGACTGCAACAATAGAGAGCTTAAAACTAGTCATCCATTATATAGGCAGTGAATTACCATCAGAAGCTTTTCACAGCATTCATTATACCAAAGTTATAAAATGTAGTGGTATCGTGGTTTTGCACATGACAAAAGCTGTGCTCGATAAAATACAAAAAGTTTAGATATATGTACTATTAAGAAGGTTCCTAGAGGTATGAAATAATAGTTGTGATGGAAACAATAAAGGTCCTCATATTGCTTGATGGGAATATAGGAGACATAACCAAACACAGTACAAGATAATAAAGGGATATGAACAAATATAGAATATATGTTTCTTGAAATCCCTGCAGTTTCCTGTGAATTCAGAATTGGCAAATTCTGTACCACTTAAATTCCATTTGTATAATAAATTTGATTTTATATTTGAGCTTGTTTGAGACCATAATTTTAAACACAGATCTTTCTATTATGAATGTCAACATTGACATTCATAATAAAGATTTGGGCATGGCAAATCCAGTGAGCACACTTTTGATTGATAGCCTATGGTTTGTTTTCAATTTAGAGATCATGTACTAAACCAAATAGGCACTGTGAATAATTAAAGCTATTTACTGGAGATCACTTAGGGAGGGGATTACCCCCTCCCCCATGTCCCCCCCCCCTTCCTCTTGATGCTGGGTCATCTTAACATGGTGGTTGGGTTTGTGGTTTGTATCTAGGGGTAGTGGGCCCTCTTCACTGGGAAGGGCACCAATATTCCAATAGGGTGCTTGCCTAAGAACCCAGAATATCTTTTGGCATAATTGGTGAGGATAGTTTCCTTTTTGCTAGGTAGTAGGTTGGTAGACCGCAACCACCCAGGGAGGTACTACCGTCCTGCCAAGTGAGTGTAAAATGAAAGCCTGTAATTGTTTTATATGATGGTAGGATTGCTGGTGTCTTTTGTCTGTCTCATAAACATGCAAAGTTTCAGGTATGTCTTGCTACTTCTACTTACACTTAGGTCACACTACACATACATGTACAAGCATATATATACGCACCCCTCTGGGTTTTCTTCTATTTTCTTTCTAGTTCTTGTTCTTGTTTATTTCCTCTTATCTTCATGGGGAAGTGGAACAGAATGCTTCCTCCGTAAGCCATGTGTGTTGTAAGAGGCGACTAAAATGCTGGGAGCAAGGAGCTAGTAACCCCTTCTCACGTATAAATTACTAAATTTAAAAAAAACTTTTGTTTTTCTTTTTGGGCCACCCCGCCTCAGTGGGATATGGCTGGTATGTTTAAAGAAAGAAAAGTTTCCTTTTTGTCCAAATTTGCACATTGTTTCATGGACATGGATTGTGGAATGTAAAAATTAGATTATGACAACTTGTAGGTTTGCTAGAGTTGTGATTGTGTTTTGTGTAATATGAAAGTGAATTGGTCAAGACAGTAGCAAGTTGGCATTGATAGTGTAAATTTATTACATAATGTTACAGATGGAATGTTGAAAGTGCTGACTAACCAAAAGTGGTGTTTTGTATATACAATAGAACAACTTTAGGAAAAGGGTTTCATAATCAAAGTGCTCGAATTTTGGGATTTACTGTACTGTCTTAAATCGACATTTTTGTATATTGATCTGCGAATTTCCTTTTCCTCCCTAGGTCACATTTAGCTACATATATTACAATATTTCCTGAGAACATGCTCTTTCATGGTGGGTTTAGACAATGTATGTTGGGAATTATTCTAGTAAATAATAGGTCTCTCATTGATGTGTTGCCTTCTCTTGCTCAAGTCGCTTTACTAATGTGCTGATACATTTACTGCTCGTCACATTGAGAAATGTGGCTGAACATGTATTTACTGTTCCAACTTCATTAATAAACCAGTCTCTTTAGAGAGAAAAAAAAATCTTGACATTGGCATTATTAGTGCTGACTTTAAAAAATGATTGATGCACTAGCTTCACTCTGCACCCCATACATATGCTGCTTACTAGGATTACAAAATTTGTATAATAGAAAAACATCATACTAGGAGATTATTATTTAATGAAAACTCACAAACCCATGTTACTGAGTTACTTGTTTAGCAAAATCTCTTGTATTGATTTTTCTGTACATACATCCAGACATCCTGTGAATAGTGAATGTAGTTTGGCTTCATTGTTCTTGTGGGTGTCTTGCTTTTGTAGGACAGGTAACTTAGGGACCCAGGCTTGTTTGGCAGGTTTGTTTTGACTTTTTTTATATTTTACTTGGGATTTTACTTCAACTGTTATGAGTTTTCATCTGCAATATTCATGATGCTATTCTTTAAAGCTTAAGTATTAGCTTGATACTTTTAAATATAAGAGCACAAAAAGAGGAAGATAAACATTATCATCTACTGTAACAATATTCTTAAAAATTCTAGAGATCAGCCAAGTTGGGAGTTTTGTGTTGTACTTCATAAAAATTCCCCTTTACTGTGTTTGTCTTGTAGGTGCCGCACAAAGAGAGTGATGATTGTATCCCTTGGACAGTGACAGCGAAGTGTAAGCTTCAGGTAGAAAAGGAAATGAAGAGTATTCCAGGCCTGAATTGGATTATTGTGCGACCTGCTATAGTGTATGGAGTGTCTGACAAGATGGGCCTTAGTAAGTGAAGAAATTTTGTATTCAAGTTATGGACCAAGACACATTGTAGCTTGAGTAAATGAAGTAGGAGTACTAATTTTGATATTGCAGATGAAATAAAGGCATATTTTCAGAATTTGTAGAAACATCCAATTCTTTATCTGTTTCAAGTTTGAATGAGTGAGTTGGTTGATAGTTGCAAGTGATGTTAAAGCATGGAGATATGTATGGTGATCAGAGGAAATGTATGATTAAGAATGTTAAGCATCTCTGTTGTGTTGCACAATTGATATAGAAGAGATAGAGGAAGTTCTTTATTAACCACTTCACTGTCGAGACCCCTGCTTGCAAACTAGCTCTGTGTTGAATTTAAAAAAAAAAAAAAAATTCTCATGAAATAATGAGCGAATCTTTTCCCAATGGTAATGAAACCAAAAGTACAAAATTTGATGAAAAACTTGCTGAACTATGCTCTTGTGAAGTTAGTGGTCGTGACGATATTTACGCATCGGTGATTTCGCCCATTTTGAGCCCTATTTTGGGCCAGTTCCATTGTTCCAGTTGACTATATTCATAGCTATTTCACTAGCACTCCTTTTGTTCTATCAATTAAGTACAAGAAAATACCCATTTACTTACTTCAACTACCCAATAAAGTGATCAGAAATTGGTAATTTGGCCAATTTCATACAAAATTCAAGAAAGGTCAATTTCAAAATAGGGTCCAGAATAAACAATGCAAACATTCCTAGCACTAAAATAACATTTTTCTCTGTTCATTAGTCACGTCTTCAGGCCCCTCTTATATTACGCTTGCTTTCCTTTTTGAATTTTTCTTCACACAAAAAATAGAAGATTTACTGTTATGCAGATTACTGCATTATTGTAAAAATGGTATAAATAATATCAGTGCATTAGTGAAAGCATATTAGACCCACCAGTTGATGTGTATAGGACACATGATGTGATTTGTTTACTCTTGAACATTGTCAAAAATTGAATATTTCTGCTACTTTGAGCTCACTTTCAAGCTACTTTTATTCTGTAAACCATTCAGAATCATCTCTGTTTCTGTAATATATCTCCCATTCTGTCCAGTGAGACAAGAAAACGAGAATACAACCATAAATGCCATATGAAAATACACTGCAAAGTCGATGTTTTAAACCAAAAACATGGTCGCAGTTTTTTCTCGTGCACTGCATGCTGAAGGATTTTTTTTATACTGCACACACTGACCACTCAGACCCATTCTCTAATATGTAGGCCTACCATCTATCTCCCGCAAGATTGGAGGCCGCTAGAATTTTTGCATAGTATTACAGGACCGACACTGGCTTCAAAACCGTAGCATTATGGGACCGACAGTGAAAGGGTTAATTAATTGGAAAGAGAAAAAATAAATCCCATTGATGCAGAGTAGAGGAGGAGTGATAGTGGGTGAAAGGAGAGAGAATTTCTTTTAATATATAAGTTGTTTCTCATCAAGGCAGGGTGACTACCCCCTCAAAGAAGTTAATTCAGTCACCATATAAAGTATTAGGAAAATCAGTGAATGAGAGCCGGGAATAAAACTGAATTGAGAATCTAGAAGAATATAAAGCTATTTTGGAAACAAATAGAAAAGTAGCGGTAGTGAGTGGCAGTAAGTGTGGAGGCATTGTAATTAGTGACAGAAAAGTTGTGGGAATAGTAGTAAGTGTTTATGCATCAGGAAGTGAAAGGAATGTAGAGAAGGGAGTGAAGGATTTTGTGATTTAAGTAGATATTTACAGAGTTTTAAACCAAGTGAGAGACTAATTGCTGTAGGAGATCTAAATACTAGAGAGAAACTTGTTAAAGGCATAGTAAAAATGTCTGAAGAACCAGGAGTAAATGACAATGGGCCACCTTTATTTAAATTGCTGTAGAAAGTTTTGGTAATAGGTAGTGTGTTTTATGAGGTTATAAATAAATATGAAGTATGAAGTGCCTAATAACAATAGTTTGGTAGAATAAGCATTGTTGGATAAAAGGCTGGTGGACAGACACCTGTATGTGTGTGTATTTAGAGTAGTGATTGATATGTCAAATCATTATTTAGTAGTAGCTACTTTAAGAGGTAAATGGAATACAACAATTAGTGTATGAACTAAAGGGGATAGTGAAATGAGCAGCTGTTGGGTGAGGCAGAGGTTTGTGGTTATAGAGAGTGTGGCTGGGAATAAGAATGATATATTAATGGTTTTACAGGACAAAAAAGTTAGCACATCAGAGGTTTTTACAATGAAATTGATATGCACAGGTTGGAAAGAACAGTTCATTGAATTATCAGGTACCATAGTACATATGGAGAAGAAATATGATAAATTTATTTTCCAAGAAGATACATTAGCTGCAAAGGTATTGTAGGTTTAGTGATTATTTCTTGCATGGAAAAACAAGCCACATTTATGCAAAGCACTTAGTGCAGATTTAAGCCAGGGCTAAATACTACTAGAGAGATTGGGTGAATCATTACCAGCAAGTTTTGGGAGCATAAGGTTTAGTGCTATTCCCAGGAGTATAATACTTCTATATCATAACCAGAAGCACGAGAACGAGTAATATTGAATGTTTCCTTCTGTGGGTCACCCTTCCTTTGTAACAAATGGCAGATTTCTTAACCCTTAAATGGTCCAAACGTATATATACGTTTTTTCAACATTTGAAAGTATGTAAAAAAAAATGTAGATCTTTTTTCTTGTTTTACATTTAAAAATGTGTAAAAAAACTTTTATCTACATTTTTTTTTAGTTATTTTTGAAAATATGTAAAAAAACGTAGATCTACTTTTGGAGCACTAAGGATTTGAACGTCGATCTCTTTGGACCGTTTAAGGGTTAAAAAAAAAAAAGTAGCAGGTTATTTAGTAGTGAATCAATTATTAGCATTTTTGAGATCTTTAACCCTTTCAGGGTCCGTCCCGTAGATCTACGGCTTGACGTTCAGGGTCCAAACCGTAGATCTACGCCATGAGCTCAGCTCACTCTGATAAACTGTGAGTGGTACATTTGGGCCTAGATATGAGAGAATACATCTATATGGTATGTGTGCACCACATAAAACAGATCCTGCAGCACACTGTGTATAATGAGAGAAAAAAATGAAATCATGATTTTTCGATTAAAACAGCAACTTTGCAGTGTTTCTTCGTATGTTTTTTATAGTTGTATTTGCGATTTCTTGGTCTCATTTGATAGAATGGAAGACATATTACAGAAATAGAGATGATTTTGATTGGTTTTAGCACTGGAAATGGCTTGAAACTGAGCTCAAAGTAGCGGAAATGTTAAATTTTTGCCGATATTCAAGAGTAAACAAACGACCTCACACATCTAATACACGTCAGCTGGTGGGTCTAATATACATTCACAAATATGGTGATGATATTTTATACAATTATTACAGTATTGCATAACAGTAAATCTTCTATTTTTTGGTGTGAATAAAAATTCATTATGTGAATAAAAAATCAAAATGGAATTTATTTGTAAAGCCTCAAAACATAACTAATGAACAGAGGAAATGTTAGTTTAGTGCCAGGAATGCCTGCATTGTTCATTCTGGACCCTATTTTGAAATTGGAATATTTTGAACTTCGTGTTAAATTGGCCAAATTAACAATTTCCGATCACTTTTTTTTGTAGTTTGAACAGTTGACTTGGCGATTTCTTGTGCTCAATCGATAGAATAGAAGTAATACTAGTGAAATAGCTAAGAATTTGGTTGATTAGAATAATGTAATTGGCCTAAAATGGGAGTCAAAGTCGGCAAAATCGCCGATTCGTAAATATCGCTGACACATCAAAATTCGCGAGAGCATAATTTCGTCAATTTTCCACCAAATTTCGTACTTTTTGTTTTATTACCTTCACAAAAAGATTCTCTACGATTTCATAAGAAAAAATAACAAATTTTTTTTTTTAAAATTCTTGGACACTGGTGCGTGACTCCAGATTTGGGCCTTGGACCCTGAAAGGGTTAATGTGGAGTTTGTTGCTACTGAGTGTGGAAGGTATTCTGAATAAATGGATGTCACTCATTGTCTTAAACCCTCTGACTGGAATACTTTTCAATCTTTTCTGTACGAATGCCTCCCCAGGGAAGTGGGCTAACAATGATGGATCAAAATATTGAGGGAGAATTATACATTCCTTAAGAATTTTAACTCAATTTAAAGGGCAGTGAAGTTAAAAAAAAAAAAAAAAAAAAAAGGGGGGGGGGAGGCAAAAGAAAAAAAATTTATAAAAGATAGTCAATTTTTTTCCTGCTATCTCTCAGGGACATTTCTAACTATGTTAGTTCAGGTTATGGCTTAAATTTGATTTCTTAAATGGGTGTATTACTTCTTCAGTGTATTGGAATTTTACTAAGTGTTTAGAGCATTTTATCTACAGGTTTACATTCATTAGAAACTGTTACAATAGCCTATATCAGCGGTTCTCAACCAGGATGCCTCACCCCACCTTCCCAGGATGGGAGGACAAGAGTAATTTCCAGGGTGAGCATGAACCCAAAACAAAAACAAGGAATGTTCTTCCGTTATATGTTGTATATTTGTGATTTGCTCCATGAACAGTCATTTTTGAATAGTTAAAAATAATAGTTAAGTATGAAAATGAGTTTCTTAATTTTCCTATTTAAGTGAAGTTTTTTATACATTTAGAATTTTATATGTAGGAAGGAAGGAGGACATGGAAATGAGGACTTGCTGTGTTAAGGGTACCACCCAAAATAGGTTAAGAGCCACTGGTCTATACCATTGTTGTGTATACCATGTCCTTTCATAGAAAGGAGACCTGAAAATATTCTCTTATCTTTTATTACTCTCCATCTGTTTTTGTCTATATGATCCGACCTATTCAGGAAACATAATTTTCTATTGCAGCTCCACGTTTGGTATTTGGAGGTGTGTATCGCTATCTTAATGAGACGATGAAAATGTTATGGGATGAAAATCTTCGAATCAACACTGTTCATGTGGTGGATATGGCACGGTAATATTTGCAAATTTGCTGTTTTGTTTGTTAGTGACCTCAGCTTCACTGTTGGATGCTCATAGGGATGATTATCAGTTTTATGTTGATGTTACACAGGTGGGTTCTGAACTTGGAAGATGCAAAACTGTTTTGCATCTTCCAAAGTCATCCTATTTTGCTTCATTCTCCCAAAATGTCTAAACCACCTCAGTAACACCACTTCAGCTTTCTGGATAATACTTCAGTAACTCTGCACCACCTCTTCATCTCCAAACTACAGATTCTCTGCATAATATTCACACCACACATTACCCTCAGACATGACATCTCCACAGCCTCCAGTCTCCTCACTGGAACTCATGCTTCACATCCACATAGTAGTGTTGGAACTACTGAACTTGAATACATTTCCCTCTTTGCTGCCATGGATAATGTTTTGTGTCTACAGGTTCCTCTCCATCATTCATTCTATCATTGTCTTTCCAGAGGTGTACTGACATTATAAATAGATGACCTTCGAACTCGACACCTTCAACCCTCCTTCAGATTTATGGCACTGTACTTCTCACCTCAAGTCCAGCAAACCAGTTTCCCTGTAATTTTTTTTCTTTCTCCTCTCAAACTGGCTGTATCCCACTGAGTCAGGGTGACCTGAAAACAAAAACCTAATGAAAAGTTTTTCTTTTTAAATTTAGGTAGTAGGTTGGTAGACAGCAACCACCCAGGGAAGTACTACCATCCTGCCAGATGACTGTGAAACAGAAACCTGTCACTGTTTTACATGATGGTAGGATTGCTGGTGTCTTTTTCTGTCTCATAAACATGCTGGATAACAGGGATATCTTGCTAGTCCTACTTACACTTTGGTCACACTTCACAGACGCACACATGCATATATATACACATACATCTAGGTTTTTCTCCTTTTTCTAAATAGCTCTTGTTCTTCTTTATTTCTTTTGTTGTCCATGGGAAAGTGGAAAAGAATCTTTCCTTCGTAAGCCATGCGTGTCATATGAGGCGACTAAAATGCCGGGAGCAATGGGCTAGTAACCCCTTCTCCTGTAAACATTTACTAAAAAAGAGAAGAAAAACTTAATGAAACTGGGATGCTTCAATGTGCGTGGATGTAGTGCGGATGACAAGAAACAGATGATTGCTGATGTTATGAATGAAACAAAGCTGAAGGGGGTAGGGCAGTTTCGGTGGGGAGAAATAAATGCGATTAAATCTGGAGTATCTGAGAGAGTTAGAGCTAAGGAAGGGGTAGCAGTAATGTTGAAGGATCAGTTATGGAAGGAGAAAAGAGAATATGAATTTGTAAATTCAAGGATTATGTGGATTAAAGTAAAGGTTGGATGTGAAAAGTGGGTCATAATAAGCGTGTATGCACCTGGAGAAGAGAGGAATGTAGAGGAGAGAGAGAGATTTTGGGAGATGTTAAGTGAATGTATAGGAGCCTTTGAACCAAGTGAGAGAGTAATTGTGGTAGGGGACCTGAATGCTAAAGTAGGAGAAACTTTTAGAGAGGGTGTGGTAGGTAAGTTTGGGGTGCCAGGTGTAAATGATAATGGGAGCCCTTTGATTGAACTTTGTATAGAAAGGGGTTTAGTTATAGGTAATACATATTTTAAGAAAAAGAGGATAAACAAGTATACAAAATATGATGTAGGGCAAAATGACAGTAGTTTATTGGATTATGTATTGGTAGATAAGACTGTTGAGTAGACTTCAGGATGTACATGTTTATAGAGGGGCCACAGATATATCAGATCACTTTTTAGTTGTAGCTACAGTGAGAGTAAAAGGTAGATGGGATACAAGGAGAATAGAAGCATCAGGTAAGGGAGAGGTGAAGGTTTATAAACTAAAAGAGGAGGCAGTTAGGGTAAGATATAAACAACTATTGGAGGATAGATGGGCTAATGAGAGCATAGGCAGTGGGGTCGAAGACGTATATGGTAGGTTTAAAAATGTAGTGTTAATGTTCATCAGAAGTTTGTGGTTACAGGAAAGTTGGTGCGGGAGGGAAGAGGAGCGATTGGTGGAATGATGATGTAAAAGAGCAGTAAGGGAGAAAAAGTTAGCATATGAGAAGTTTTTACAAAGTAGAAGTGATGCAAGGAGGGAAGAGTATATGGAGAAAAAGAGAGAGGTTAAGAGAGTGGTGAAGCAATGTAAAAAGAGAGCAAATGAGAGAGTGGGTGAGATGTTATCAACAAATTTTTGTTGAAAATAAGAAAAAGTTTTGGAGTGAGATTAACAAGTTAAGGAAGACTAGAGAGAACAAATGGATTTGTCAGTTAAAAACAGGAGAGGAGAGTTATTAAATGGAGAGTTAGAGGTATTGGGAAGATGGAGGGAATATTTTGAGGAACTGTTAAATGTTGATGAAGATAGGAAAGCTGTGATTTTGTGTATAGGGCAAGGAGGAATAACATCTTGTAGGAGTGAGGAAGAGCCAGTTCTGAGTGTGGGGGAAGTTCATGAGGCAGTAGGTAAAATGAAAGGGGGTAAGGCAGCCGGGATTGATGGGATGAAGATAGAAATGTTAAAAGCAGGTGGGGATGTAGCTTTAGAGTGGTTGGTGCTATTACAGGTCTCCCTCAACATTTGCGAGGGTTAGGGGATCAAGAGCCTCGCGAATGTTGAAAAACCATGAATGTTTGGTACCCCAATGTATTGTAGGGAAATATAATACAATGTTGCTTCCTTAACTTGTTGAACCATGAATAATCATAAAATACATGAAAACGTCGTCAGTTATACTAAATATGCTTTAATAACATGCATGTTATTAAATACCACAGACTCCACCACTGCCTCCACCAATGCCTCCACCACTTCCTCGACCACTGCGAGTCCCTACTACCCTCCCACCGACCCCCGCAACTGGCAGCCAGCCCTCCCACCACTCAGTGTGGTGAGTGTTTTGTTTGTTCATTATTTGCTATTAAACTACTACAGTATAAATAATGTAAACACATTCATGACTGCATATTGGAATGGCTGTTTGGACAGGTATTGGACGGTGACATCATGTGTTTACTCTTGAACACAGCAAAGAATCAAACATTTCTGCTACTGCTAATAATAACAATAATAATAATAAAACATGCTAGATAACAGGGATATCTTGCTACTCCAACTTACACTTTGGTCACACTTCACAGACACGCACATGCATATATATATACATACATCTAGGTTTTTCCCCTTTTTCTAAATAGCTCTTGTTCTTTATTTCTTCTATTGTCCATGGGGAAGTGGAAAAGAATCTTTCCTCCGTAAGCCATGCGTGTCGTATGAGGCGACTAAAATGCCGGGAGCAATGGGCTAGTAACCCCTTCTCCTGTAGACATTTACTAAAAAAGAGAAGAAGAAAACTTTATAAAACTGGGATGCTTGAATGTGCGTGGATGTAGTGCGGATGACAAGAAACAGACGATTGCTGATGTTATGAATGAAAAGAAGTTGAATGTCCTGGCCCTAAGCGAAACAAAGCTGAAGGGGGTAGGGGAGTTTCGGTGGGGGGAAATAAATGGGATTAAAATCTGGAGTATTGAGAGAGTTATAGCAAAGGAAGGGGTAGCAGTAATGTTGAAGGATCGTTATGGAAGGAGGAAAAGAGAATATGAATGTGTAAATTCAAGAAATTATGTGGATTAAAGTAAAGGTTGGATGTGGAAAACTGGGTCATAATAAGCGTGTATGCACCTGGAGAAGAGAGGAATGTAGAGGAGAGAGAGAGATTTTGGGAGATGTTAAGTGAATGTATAGGAGCCTTTGAACCAAGTGAGAGAGTAATTGTGGTAGGGGATCTGAATGCTAAAGTAGGAGAAACTTCTAGAGAGGGTGTGGTAGGTAAGTTTGGGGTGCCAGGTGTAAATGATAATGGAAGCCCTTTGATTGAACTTTGTATAGAAAGGGGTTTAGTTATAGGTAATACATATTTTAAGAAAAAGAGGATAAATAAGTATACAAGATATGATGTAGGGCGAAATGACAGTAGTTTGTTGGATTATGTATTGGTAGATTTCAGGATGTACATGTTTATAGAGGGGCCACAGATGTATCAGATCACTTTTTAGTTGTAGCTACAGTGAGAGTAAAAGGTAGATGGGGTACAAGGAGAATAGAAGCATCAGGGAAGAGAGAAGTGAAGGTTTATAAACTAAAAGAGGAGGCAGTTAGGGTAAGATATAAACAGCTATTGGAGGATAGATGGGCTAATGAGAGCATAGGCAATGGGGTCGAAGAGGTATGGGGTAGGTTTAAAAATGTAGTGTTAGTGTGTTCAGCAGAAGTTTGTGGTTACAGGAAAGTGGGTGCGGGAGGGAAGAGGAGCGATTGGTGGAATGATGATGTAAAGAGAGCAGTAAGGGGAAAAAGTTAGCATATGAGAAGTTTTTACAAAGTAGAAGTGATGCAAGGAGGGAAGAGTATATGGATAAAAAGAGAGAGGTTAAGAGAGTGGTGAAGCAATGTAAAAGAGGGCAAATGAGAGAGTGGGCGAGATGTTATCAACAAATTTTGTTTGAAAATAAGAAAAAGTTTTGGAGTGAGATTAACAAGTTATGGAAGCCTAGAGAACAAATGGATTTGTCAGTTAAAAATAGGAGAGGAGAGTTATTAAATGGAGAATTAGAGGTATTGGGAAGATGGAGGGAATATTTTGAGGAATTGTTAAATGTTGATGAAGATAGGGAAGCTGTGATTTCGTGTATAGGGCAAGGAGGAATAACATCTTGTAGGAGTGAGGAAGAGCCAGTTGTGAGTGTGGGGGAAGTTCGTGAAGCAGTAGGTAAAATGAAAGGGGGTAAGGCAGCCAGGATTGATGGGATAAAGATGGAAATGTTAAAAGCAGGTGGGGATATAGTTTTGGAGTGGTTGGTGCAATTATTTAATAAATGTAAGGAAGAGGGTAAGGTACCTAGGGATTGGCAGAGAGCATGCATAGTTCCTTTGTATAAAGGCAAAGGGGACAAAAGAGAGCGTAAAAATTATAGGGGGATAAG